AGGTTATTTAATCTACCTTCCAATATTTCAATAAATAAAATGGGTCCTTTGAGGTGGCGGTAGTGAAAAAATACAATGCCTTCAGAAACAAGAGAATGTCGCAAAGACAAAAGGGTTCTAACCGGTTTGGTGAATTCAGTATACATGCAAAGACCTCTTTGCCAACGCTTGTTGTACCGTGTCGTAAAGCGGGTTTTAAAATTGAAATTTAATATAAAATTTTGGCGGCATTAATTGTACAATAACCCTGCAAGATTAGATTGGCAATGTGCAGATGTGTAGTTGATAATAAAAAATATTGAATGGGATTTATGCAATTCGGTTATTAATGGTTTTAAAATAATAATGTGCATAGCACATGGATTTATAGAAAATAATGTAAGCATGAAATGAAAGAATATTATGTAAATCAACGTACAAAATTGGAATAATGTATCTACAACATCCGCCAAATCCTACTGTTTATAAACTGAAATATTTCACACCTGAGAATAATGTTTCCAACAGGACAATTCCAAATACTGGCGAGATAGGCGGAAGCTCCGAGTCACTGGATTCTACATTCAAGAAGGGAAGGACTAGGTCATTTCTAGACCCAGATGAGAGTTCATTTGCTCAAATTCGAAACCGATTAAGTACTTTGTCTTTAAGCACCGCGTATAAATCTGGCCATGAAGCACCAATTATCTCGCCGCCATTTATGCGTGAAAGAAAACTTCCGCCTAGAAGAATTAGTTCCATCAGTTCAAAAGAAAGTTTGGATAAAGCAAATGACGGGGCAAGCAAAGGAAGATTACATTCAAGATCCAGTTTCTACAGCGACAGTAAGGAACTTCAAAACACAAAGCGTCACTTACACTTACCACGTCATCGCGCCAGTGAGACTGCCGCCTTGAAGAAACTAAACGAAAATTACTTAACACCAGGCCAAAACCCAGAGCTATTTTCAAGGCAAATAAGATTAAAAGACAAATCTGAAAAGTTCTACAGTAAAAATGATACGGCAAGGAGTAGTTCCCCGAAAAGTGTCAAAAGCACGGATTCTTCGGGTAAAATTCATCTTGGATTAATCGAGAGTCTCGATTTAAACGAAAAACTCAGTGATGTTGAGAAAATCAAGGAACGTTACTCAAATAATACGTTCATGAATTCCTTGTCGCTTTATAAATTACGTGGTCATGACAGGTGTCTTAGGCATTCAGGATTTAGTGATCACATCCCCCGCGGTACAAGAATTCCTTCTCCTGAAGCACCACCAGGGTCAAAGATGTCGTCAGAGAGTGCATATGCTATAAATAGCGTTATATCACCAAGACTTGTCCATACTAAGTGGCAATGGGAACCAGATAAAAGTCATTTGAATGTCAGCTCTGATGCTAAACATAAAACAATTAATACTACTGACAGAAAAACTCCCGTCAAAAGAAAGAAGAGCGTTGGTTTCAACATGACACCAAAGGAACACACTGCGGAGACCGATTCAATTCCGCCACCTAATTTTACAGATGACGCTATAACGAAAGAAATCAAGTCAATTCTTAAACGGTCAAGTAAAGATTCTAGCCACACTGAAAAGTTAAATCCTGACATAAATAACGATGATGAGTTTCTAGTAAATGAAAGTTATCACTGGAAATACCACCTACCAAAACTTCGATCGCCAGTGCAGCAGTTCAAGCCTAGACCGCCCCTCTCTTTTCAGAGAAAAATGTACCATTATGGAGACGGTGTCAGTAATGAATTTGAACAAGTTATCTCCAAATACGGAAACTGCAGACAAAGTAGCTGGATACGAGAGCACAGTTTTGTCAAAGATAGTGGACTGTCATCAAAAGTCTAACAGTTGTAGAACTCTTACCCCGTTTGAGTTTGTTTTATTAATTGCAAGATTCACCTATTTAAAAAATATTTTTTTAATAAAATAAAGACATTTCGCTATTTTCTAAACATTGACTCGTGTCATATTTTTATACTGTGACTTGAAAAATAGATTCAAGTAACTAGGATTAGTTATTGGGGCTTGACACATGTAATTTGTAGCTTTTTGTCGAGTTAATTCAAAGATTTATTATATTTGATAAATATACATAAATTATGTTTACAAATGTTTAATTAAGAATTAAAGATGTAACGTTGTTAACAAATTAGAAACTTCCATTAACATGTAATTCAGCAGTAAAAATGTTTAATATATCATTTTAAAATAGTTTTTTGAGCGCAAGTTGTAAGTAACTAAAAAGGGCAAATATAAAAAAAATGATTGGATGGAGCGAAACGCCTGAGAAAAAAATACATATTGTATGTTTCTGTTTCAAAGCATGGTTGATCAATGTTGAATTTATACTTTTATGCACAGTACAACATCTATGGGAGGCAGAAAAAAGTGTTCCTTAAGAGAGGAGTCGATTGGTTCGGTCAGATTTGGTCACAGGGGGTCAGTTTTTACAAGATAATTCAAAGACAGTGAAATAATAAATTCAAATGAAACACAAAATTTATCACAATAATAAAGCAGTAAGGGCTATATTTGCACATTTTTACCTATATTTGGTAATTTTCTTAGACTTTAAGTGCAATGCGTAAATTACTTTCTTTATTCACTGGACAATGTTTTCTTTTAAAGAATAGCAACAATCTAAAGGCATGCTTCTTTAATGCATATTTATTTATTTTAATCAAAATGATAATCAACAAATCATGGAAGAAATGTGACTGCAGATTATAAATCTTTATGATGACTTTTTAGTGTTCACAATTCCCAACTTTGTTCTGTATACTATTTGCGTACACACAATACATATGTATCCACATTTTCTGCATCGTTTATAAAGTTAAATGTTCAGTGTGTTCAAATATACAATGTATATTTATATCTAAGAAATGTATTTCCACGGCACCTACCCTTTGTCTAGCAAACTTCTTATTTGTTGTTGTTGTTGTTCTAAGTCTTTGTTGTTGTTCAAAGTTAAATATAAACCAGAATAAACAGAATAGCAATAAACATGCCTGGTCATTTTTTTTACAACATTGTTTCGCAATATCCTTTTCAAATAATGATATGCAACATATTCCGTTGTCAATAAACTATACAAAGGCAACGTGAATAGATGTACATCCGTTTTAGAATATATGTAAAATGATGCAAGTAGATACATCGTATGCGGATTTAGATTTTTATGAAATTTCCATTGAGTCAGTTATGATACAACTCTAAGACGATACATTGTATTGTCAATCCTGAATCTGCAAATTTTGTCCGATGGATTTGCCCTGCTTTGAAGAAGGAACAGTTCATTGGAAATTCAAAGGATTTCAATATAAGAAAATGATGGAGCTACCAACAGTGTAGAGCCAAGTCAGACTGCACCAACATACAAGATGGCCTGGCTCCTGGCTCAGTACCAGTGGCAAAGGCTAAAATCGTTTGGTTCCAGGCCCCGTGTTCACAAAGATTTAAAGATCGATCAAATTTAAAAACTCAATGAAAATAAAATCAGGATCATCTGATCCTGATCTTTTCTTTGTGAACACGGGGCCAGCAGATAAATAGTTTAACACTACTATATATATGTCTAATTATTTTAATCTTCTGAGGCCGATTGTTCAGCTATCTAGATGAACATATATTTTTTACATACACGTTTAATTAATTAACCACAGATTTGGTTAACAAGTATGGTTAATTAGTTTTGTTATTACATTTACAAGAACCACATTTGAAACCACCGACCACAAAAATGTGAAACACGGTAAATGAAATTTCATGCAAACAAATCCGCTTCTAAAGGTTGTACAAATCTTTTTAAACTTAGTTTAATCATATTTTATTGCCTTTTTTTTCTTTCTATACAAAACAGATACAATGTCATATGAAAACATAAGACAAAACAGTAACGAATAAATTTACAGTTTTTACATGGATGCTGTAGTTATTTATAATTAAAAAGCATAAGCATAAAACCACAAGTTTTAACAATATAAGAGAGTTGGCCCTTCCCAATCTTTCTAACATTGGGATTCAAATCAGACTTCTGATGGAATCCAGCAAGGCGGTATTTAATGTCCTTATTTATTAATTATACAATATTTGTTTATGAAACGCAATCTTTGGCATGGACACATTATTTCATTATAAGGTACAGTACACGGGATGCAGGTGCGAAACATCTTGCGTTCCTAAATATTATTTTCAGATATTATTGTTTCAAACTGATAAATTATATAGCTGAATGCTTGCGGCATTAATAATGCGTCCATGATGTTGTGGCGACGATGATGCGGCGAAGATGATATCCATATGTCACTAGCTTATACAATAGAAGGTAACATATGTAGATATAGACCTAGCATCGTACAAAACATATATAACATAAGAAATAACTTTTCTAAAACTAGTGACACTCGCAAATCAAGCATTTCACTATTGGTTGTTCATTTTTAGTTTGTACAGAAAATTATTATAGATTGTGAAGTAAACTTACATTGCAGACACAATCATGCACAGGTTTTAAGATAACGTTATAGCACGGATTTAGGCCTATATGTAATATAAATCCGTGGGAAATGAATGTGATGTTTCATTTTTTGGCTTAAAGAAACGATAAACAGACACTTTAAGCCTCAGACACTTAACAGAACGGTTAATTTATACCACAATTATATTTTTGAAATGATCATTTTATTTAATTTAATAAATTTTAATAATATATAAAACTAAAATTGAATTGTACAGTAATGAAAATTTGACTGCCTGAAAAATAATTACAGCAGTGTGTGAACCTTTACGTCAATTTTTCTTAGATATATGATGTTCCTTTCATCCCTTTCACAAAGATGTTTCCACAGAAGCAAATGAACATCACTTCGGTGCCACACGTTTGTAAGTTGTAGTATGGTCAAAGATGAGACAATTCCTTTATAAAATAAATTATTCTCGAAATAGTTAATTCCCTTGCCAAATTCGAAACTAAGTCTTTGAATATACGGTCAATTCTACTTAAAATTTACTTGTGCGCATGCGCTCTACCCATTTTCACTATCTTTCAATATGGCGCCGAAAGCGACAAAAGATTGACTATCGAATAATTGAATTGCTTTCATACAAAAAGTTGAGGAAGACAACTTTCTAAATTTAGCAGATACACTCAGCATATCAAGAAGTATGTATAGAATTTATTCTTTAGTCAGATCTGTAATAACTTTACTCATTCAATGAGATTAGTTGAAATTATATCTGCTAAAACTGTAAACAAAGTTAAAACTGTGGCAAGCGGTTAGTGCATCTGACCCTTAATAGCGTGACTGTAGTACATGATCATCAATATTTGATTAGTCCATAATATACAAGATGCTAGAATGTCATAAGGTCTGAACTATGAAATTAATTTTATTTTAAAACGTCACTTTTGTTGATCGCCCGAGTCAAATTATGGCCATGTTGGTCTAGAAGAGGTATACCAACAGGTATGGATAAGTCTTTCTTCTCATTTGTGATACAATGTCTTAATTAACAAATGAGATGCAAAGAAGATTTTTCAACCCAAAAGATTAAAAATATGTTAAAATCAGGTAGTTAGACTATTCTCTCCCTTACCAGTTCCTCCCCTGACAGTTCTCTCCCTATTTTGGGGGAGAACTGTCTGCATATTTGCAAATAAACAGACAATTCCTCCCCATTTTTATTTTGACATTATTACTGATTTGACAATAAAACATAAATGTAAATGGAATCTCTTTTGGTAAATATTGATAATTCTACCTTGAATTTTATGAAGCTTATGATATGATTTATTTACTTAGCAAATTTATGTAAACAAAGTACCTTGTGTGGTTTACCATTTCAATCAACAATGTAAACACAATACCTGTTCCTTAACAGGTGTGTAACTTCACTGTGAATAGCTTCATTAGATTGTCAATTGTGCATCAAGATCCAACTATCCATCTTTGGCATTGAAAGTTCTATCAGTCTGAAAGCCTGTATTATCTGTGTACTTGTTTTTATAAAGAAAAACAACTCAAAATACATCTAGCCTTTTTACTCAAATCACTGTGTGCATTTTATTAAATAAACAAACGTTGGATTGTCAGCTACTAAGTTATATCCCTTTTGAACTCTAAAAATGCCTGGTTACAATATTTGCATGCAAGTATGGTCTGCACATAACTGTAGGTCACTGATCAACTCCTATGACTCTCAAATTGGGTTTTAGTGCATTACTCCCCTTTGAAATATTTAGATGAGCATAGAAAATTCCACTGAGCAAATTCATTAAACTTGAGACTTCTTAGATGTATGTCTTTTGGTTGTCACTGCCCAAGACCTAAAACTGTAAGGTGATTTCGACTTGTATTTAAGTTGTAAGCAATGTTTGATTTTTCTCTAAGAGGATCCAAAGTGAAAGCAGGCCTCGTATAAAGACAAAGCTCAGAATGTAAGATCATAAACAATTTACAAAAACACTTCAAAGACTATTTAATAAGCACTAATACACATAATGCATGTGTAGAAAAAAAAAGAATATATACCTTGAATGTGCTGAATTTCTGAAGGCCAAGAAAGGTCTTTTGTATGTTAAGAATTGCAAACACAGTTTATCCCTGTGTGATCATAAGAGGCAACTAAATAGGCTTTAATTACTAGTCTATACATCACTTAGCTCCAGCAGGGGAGGTGGTGTTGACCCCTAGTGTTGCTTTAAGTTTGTAACACCTAAGCTTATCCACAATCATCTTCCCTGGTTTGGTGTCTGACATGTTACCTTTGTTGGTGTGCTGTAAAACCAAATGAAACAATACAAACATAGTGAAAATCAAACATGGCTAAGTTACAATGTGTAATCACGTTATTATTGTTTTTAACTGAATTATTGCATTACTGATCTTTAAAAAAAGATGTCTGCAATATCCAGAGGCTCTTGTTTTACTACCAAGCTCAGTAAATAGTCCAGCACCCTTTCATTCTTACAACTTTTGTTTTGGTCTTTAACACATGGGTATTTGTTTACTGTTTCAGTGCATACCATAAAATCTTGCCTTAAATTTTTGGGTTGGAACCTTATTTCTTCCTTTATAAAGAGTAAAAATGGTGTCTGTATTATTTAGTGTACAGTACAGCTCGCGCGGAATGTACTTTTTTCCTTTTCCCTCCGCGGAACTTGGGAGGAAAATCGCCGAGAAACTCCATAAAACTCCGCAATTTTCGGAGGTGTCGCGGAGACAGAAATTCGCCGAAAGCGGCGGTATTTTACTTAAAAAACGGTGTATTTCAGTCCTCCGCGTTTCTCCGTGACTTTTCTTTCAATTGGTGCAAATAAAATTCATAAAAATGATCAAAATAAAAGAAATTGTTTCTTGTAAATGTATGTTGTAGATCTACTTTCGATTTCAGCAAGGATATTATCTGTTACCTGGCCGGTATTCCGGACCATTGCACACGTGTTTATATTTATACTTATGACATAATAATAGAGATGAGCGTATATTATATCATATGCATATGTATATTATTTTAAACTTGATGAATGCAGACTTGTTCATAAATTTTATGAGACACCTATTATGCGTTGTCTTTCAACGAATTTATTTTCAAACAATTCATGTTAACAGAAGATCTAAACTTTTGTAAAAGTGATTGTTGTTGTTGTTCTTGTGTAGTAACTGTGTACGGTTTTTAATGTTAGGCTAATTGTTTTTGGTGTATCATCAAATTCAATACATTTATATACATGTTTATCTTTAGATCCATCGTCTCTTCCCATCATTTTATTTCTAACGAGTCATCTTTGAAAATAGATTGTACACTCGTGTTTGTAAGAATAATAATTTCTATATTTGTTTTCATTTCAGGACCTTAGCAGTTTTAATAGTTCAGAAAAAGAAGCGAATTGTATTCTCCTTAAGAGTTCAACTTCACATTCTCTTCCCTTTTCTTTTCCTTAATCTTGTACTTTTGGATTGAGATTATTTACATATTAATTATATGAAGTTCGGTGGAAAAATTTCACGGATTAAGGCTGCGTCGATCTTCGAAAGATATGTACTGTAAGCTTTGAAGACGTCAAGACAGACTTTCTGAATGATAAAACTTAGGATTTGTCGGATGGTCCTTATGAAAAGGCACAATGTATCATCATTACAAATAAAAGAATTATAACAAACAACTTTTGACAAGCATGTGCACATCTGAGCAAAAAGATAAGTATGTGCAAACGGCGCTCAGTCATTGCAAACGGCGCTCAGTCATTGGCGTTGACAAATGTTGAATATTGAATAAATATGTTCCTCTACCATGAGAAGACTTACTGTTGTCTCCGTATGTGATTACATACCCACCTTCTGTAAAGCGTCATATCCATGTACATGTATGTTTGCCGGCTTTAAAAAAAAGGGGGGGGGGAGGCAAAGAACAATGATACACAGTATAACATTCATAATATTCTTTGTTCACTTCTTTTATTTGTCAAACTTTGTAGAACAAATATTATTAGTATTAGTTATACTTCAAGTAAGAAGTTATTTAGATAAGGCACATCGTCTCTGGAAACTCTTGAAATCTTCCATGCATGGTCATCTTGCTGGAAAAAAAACGTTAATGATTATAAATGATTGATAGAATAAAAAGTATTTTGAAACCAATATCATACACTAAATGAAAAAAAAAGAACGTTCAATCTTATTTATTGAAAATGAAGTCGGTATAGTTTTTCACCAGTGTGTATACATTTATATTGAGAAGAGAAACTGTATAAAACACAGATATATTTTATCGTAAATTATTATAGAAGAATTGTAAAAAAGGTGAAGACATTATAATTTTCGCTGTTGACACATAAAATTATCAGTGAGGACGTACTAGTTTTGTTGTACAAATTGTGGACATTTGAGATAGACATCGTGTACGCGTTGGGAAACGTATAGGTCAAGAACTAATGTATATAAACAGGTAACCAATGTCTTATAAACTTTAAAATCTTAAAGAAAAAGAAACTTTATAATTCATGTTGTTGACCAAATTAAATATGTGAAGTCATGAGCAAGCATGGAGACCCCGACGTATTTTTAAAAAACCTGCATGTAAAATATAAAATAATATAGGTGTAGTATTACATGTACACGTCAAATTTTAAAAACTGTTGATCTTATTTCTTTACAAAATATAAATAGGGTTGTTATAGTTTTTCATTTTGACACATTACCACAGAGCTATCTGTAATAAAAATCTCTGCATTTACGGGTGATTGAAATAACGGATATATCTACAGTACATGTATATCTAGCTCCGAGGCCTATTTCCAACATATCCAACATTTCCAATGCGCTTCAAAACATAAAAAACTTATATACACCTACAGTATCCTTGTCCTAAAAACAGCAAAAAAAAAATGCCAAATAAAGTATAAAAACAAAATACGAGGTAGACATGATTCAGCGGTACGGTGTTCAAGAAGATTGTTCACAAGAAATACTAACGATCGATTAATCAAGTGGACCTACAAATTTCAAAACAAAAATAAATAACAATTAAGATAATTTACAAATGAGTTTCCTTAATGAAAAATGAAAATTACTTTAATGAAAAGGGATAATTTTAAAAAAATATAATATAAACTTATAAATCGTGAATTTCTTGGAGAATCTCCGCGGTAAATGACCTTTACACTCTCTAAAACTCCGCGATTGTGGTCCAGGTTGTTTCTCCGCGATTACGCTCAGAAAAACGCGGTGGATTAAGGAGTTTGCTTAAACGTCGATCGCGGAGGAAGCATAAAAAATGTACATTCCGCGCGAGCTGTACTGTATATGTGGACAATTATCCAAGATAAGAATCTAACAAAGTTAGACATGTCCGGGACTTACTTTCTGTTTATTGTCAAAATGGTTTGAGAGTTGTCCCAGATGTCACACTATGGGATTTGTAGATCCCTGTACCTGTCTAATAAATCTATGTATGTTACATTTTCAGCTACACAAGTATAGAGAATGGCTGAAGTGAAGAGATACGGTGGTAGATCTTACAGTAAAAATCAACAACAGCAGGAGTCTGCTGCTAGTAAAGCCTTTGATGATATATTTGCTAAACCAAAAGCTACCAACTTAAAATGGGGAAATGCTTCATATGCTAAACCAAGGAATGAGGACGAAACAAATGGAAAGAAACAAAAAGCAGACCTTGAAGAGGTGAGCGATCCTTTCAGTTTCGAGTTTGATTCCGATAAATCTCCGAAGAAGAAACCAAAGTTGCAGCCGCGAACAGTGGTGATGCAGCCAGCGGTAAGAATTGCATCAGCTAGTAAATCAGCCACAAATCCTAGGTCACAATCAGCTTTAGATGATGATGCCCCTGGGGATGACTTAATTGTAAGAAAAGGAAATGTGCGAACTTACACAAAAAGAGCTGGACGTAAAATAAAAGAGGAACAGGAGACAAGTCAGCCAACTTTGGACAAGTTTGTAAAAACTGACGTCAGGAAACAGAGGTCCATGCATTCAACAGATTCCTCTCACGGAACACCTACAAGCAGTTCAGATACACTTGATACTGCTGAGACCAGTGATGATCTTGATGATGATCTTTACATTGAGAATGATGATGGGTTATCACATGAAACCACACAGGAAGAAATCTTCTCTCAGCCTGTTGAAGAAGAGGAAAACATTTTCAAGAGGCCAAAACGTGACCCGCATCACTCAGTTATGAATAGTGAAGGGGAAGAAATTACTGTAAAATTCCGTAGTCAGTACCTCAACCCTGATGTGTATTCAAAATTCACAGAAAATGTGAAGCCCAAAGACCCTGTTGGGGCTCTGTCCAATAGTAAAGTTGTACATAAAAATGTTCTAAAGCATGATTCAGGCACAACGTTAATCGTTGTCTGTTCTCCAAAAGTTGGTGATGCAGATCTTAAACAAACAAACACACAAACAAAGTATTTCAAAGATAATATTAGAGACATTGTGAAAGCCAAAAACAAGCCTGTTGAAAGACTCACACGCTCAAGGAAAGCTAAACAGAAAAAGGTTGAAGTAGATCCTTATGAAATGGAAGATGATCCCGAACCCGGTGATATTGACGAAACTGAAGAAGAATCTCCCATAGTTATTTCATCAAGTGAAGCAAGTGAGGCTGTGGTACCAGAGCCTGAAGAGGAAACACCTGTTACTGAAACTGTAGAAGAACCTCCTCAAAGAGTGAATGTTGATGAAGTTGTCAAACAAGTAAAGGCAGCTCCACCAAGGAAATATCATCGTATATTTCGGTCAAGGAACAAAGGTTATATGGAAGCACAAGAAGCTCAGGAGGCTGCTGAGGCTGTAGAAGTAAAAGATGAAGCTAAAACTGACAGTCCTAGTGTAAAAGAGAGTCAAGAGACCATAGAGGAAAGTCAGGAAAATGGGGGAACTAGTGAAGAAGTAATGGAAACACAGGAGAGTGAACAAGGTAAAATAATTGTGATACTAATTTACTCTACAGCATTTTAAAGAGACTCCATTGAGGTTTTTTTAAATGATTTGAATGGAAATTTATTTCTTTTTTTTCTTTTTTGAGATTTATTTTTTATCATTTGATGTAGGGTTGGACCAGTAGTGCAAAGAAACAACCAATATTACCATTTTCAGTTAACCATTCCCCTATTTGATAGATTTATGCATATAGGGAACCAAAAGAAGTTACATGAAAACATCCTCCGTATGTTAAATAGTTATGGCAGCTGTTGAAAGAAAAGTACATTGATTCAATAACAATGAAAAAAATCATTTGGTGCCTTCGAAATATGTTTAAATCCAGCCTTAGAATTTCTTGTACTTACTAAAATACTTGAGAATGTCAAATGTTTTTTTGTGTTTTTTTTTTTAATCTTGAGATTGCCAAATGTTTTCACAGTGTAACATGATTTCAGGAGAGAGTTTAAAGCTTCCATTGTTGATAAATGTCAATGAAGAAAATACTGACAGTGACATAGACAGTTCCCAACCGTCTACAATGTCTGACAGTCAAGGGGCTGACAATGAAAGCTCTTCTCAGGTCAGTTCATTTATTTATTGTAGAAAAATCCATGTTATATTTATTTGTTAAAAATCTTGTGGAATAATGGCTTTATTCCATTGACTGTAAGGTTTCATGGATTATATGATTTTGAATGTTTTTATAGTAAACTAAAGTTTCTGAAATATCAGCTGACAGTTCTAAATTCTAACATGCCATGGATTCAGATAAAGTTTTTATTGTCCTATTGTTTTTCTTTAAAGGAATTACTGGAGCCACAGCCCAAAAAGCCAAAGATGGTGAAACCTCCACCTGCTGAGAGAAAAATATTTAGAGCAAGAGGTTCCAAAGCATCAGTAGGAAATGGAGCCCAGAAGAAAATATTTTCAAGTCCGAAAAAGGTAAAATTTCTTAATGTTTATGTTTCTTAAGAATAAGGTTATTTAACTTTATAGTAAACTTTCTAAAGTACTATATTTTACCTTGACCTCTGAAGGTTTCAATTTCTCACAGAATATTTAATGTCATACATACAGGAATGTCATTATATTTGAAAAGAAGCATGGTCGTTTTTAGATAATACTTGGAAACAACAACATTTAGGACTAAACTTTCAAATTGAGTTACTGTAAAATTATGTTTATTCATGGGGCACTAATTTTCCTGGATGGGTTAAATGTTGAATACTGCTACCTATTCGATTTAAAGAGTGTTGGTGATTGAGCAAGTTTGTTTAATAGTATAGATGTATGAAACTTACCATGACATACATTTAATTTACAGTCTAATCTGAGATATATTTAATATCAAATATTAATATTTTTTCTTAATATTTGTAGGCAGCTGCAGTATACAATGTGAGGTCATGGCAGGCTGAAGAAGAGGTATGTTTGTTTCTTGATTGTGTTTCCTGATTATGAAAAGTTTAATGAAAGATTTAACAAGCATTGAGCATGTACTTTTATACCTGTCCAGCTGAGGAAGACATTGTTTTCTGAGTGAGAGAGGTATAAGGCTGCTTTCAGAATTGATGATTGTCCCATGCATGGATACAAGTTTTCTGGCATTTGCCTAATTTCAGGTTTTTTATACTCCTTAAAGAACTCTTTTTCTATATAAAAGCAATGAAAATAATGCTAAATTAAGGGTTTTCAGATTTTCTGACATTTTCAACTTGCACCCATGTCAATGTCATAATGCTGGTGATCTGAAAGTGCTCAGTATTTACATAATTAGATCCAATACTTGATTATTTATTTATGTGTTGTAGATGGGAAGTCTTGCGCCTGCAGCTCCTAAAGATGGTGAAATGTCACCACCTGCGCTACCTCAGCCTCCCAAACTAAAGCCAATGATGAGGAGACCTGCCTCTGGAAGTGCGGGGAAACCTGGCCAGACGGAGATGCCGAGGCTTACGCGGGCGGTTCACTGGCAACGTCATCAAGATGATGATGCTTATACATCTGTACATGTTAGTAAAGAACATAAAGATGTAAGTTGAAGCCCTTGTTAGTACTTTATTAAAAATGCAGGGATAAACGACTGTGCAATATACAGTAAAAAAATTGTCACAGTTTAAAGCTGCATGCCTCCAGATGAGCCAAAACATTTATAGTAAATTAAACTTGAGAAAAATGTTTAAATCTTTTAAGGAAAGTAAAAAGATTCAAGATTAAAGAAATAATTGACGTATTATGTGAGCTTAATGCTTGCAGTATTTGTCAAAGCAGTAAGGACTATTTTCGCATATTTTGATCTCTTTTTGGTAATTTACATGGATTGTAAGTGCTGTTTGCAATATGTTTATTTCTTTCTTTGTTCCTTTGACAGTCATTTACTTAAAAAAACATTTTCATGAAAATAAGTATTAATCTGGAGGCATGCTGCTTTAAACTAATCGCAAGAATCATCATTCCTTTATATATCTGCCAGTTGTGAATCACGATAAAACTATTAAAGAAAACATATAAAATGTTCTTATTTCTACTTGTAAGTCTTCTTTGCAATATGTATAAGGTAAATCTTCAAATGTTCTTGTGTATATTTTTTTATGTAGAGAATGTAATAACACTGCTTGTTAATTTTTATGCCCCCGCCATATAATGGCAAGGGCATATAGTGTTACCCTGTTCCGTCATTCCGTCATTCCGTAATTCCGTCATTCCGTCCTTCCGTCATCATCAGTTTCCGTTCATTATCTTAATAACCGTTGCACATATTGAACTCAAATTTGACATATAGATATGTCATGAGAAAATACAGGTCAAGTTCGAAATTGGTCATGGTTCGATGATTTTTGGCAGAGTTATGCCCCTTTTACTTTGAAAATAATATGAAATTTTCAGTTTCCGTTCATTATCTCCCCAACGGTACAACACATTCAACTCAAACTTGACATATGGATATGTCATGAGAAAATACAGGTCAAGTTCAAATTTGGTCATGGTTCGATGATTTTTGGCAGAGTTATGCCCCTTTTACTTTGAAAATAATATGAAAATTTCAGTTTCCGTTCATTTACTCCCCAATGGTACAACACATTCAACTCAAACTTGACATATGGATACGTCAAAGAAATGCGCAGGTCAAGTTCAAATTTGGTCATGGTTTGATGATTTTTTGCATAGTTATGCCCCTTTCACTTTGAAAATAATATGAAATTTTCAGTTTCCGTTCATTATCTCCCCAATGGTACAACACATTCAACTCAAACTTGACATATGGATATGTCATGAGAAAATACAGGTCAAGGTCGAATTTGGTCATAGTTTGATGATTTTTGGCAGAATTATGCCCCTTTTACTTTGAAAATAATATGAAATTTTCAGTTTCCGTTTATTATCTCCCCAACAGTATTACACATTCAACTCAAATTTGACATATGGATATGTCAAAGGAATGCGCAGGTCAAGTTCAAATTTGGTCATGGTTCAATGATTTTTGGCAGAGTTATGCCCCTTTCACTTTATAAATAATATGAAATTTTCAGTTTCCGTTTATTATCTCCCCAACAGTATTACACATTCAATTCAAATTTGACATATGGATATATCAAAGGAATGCGCAGGTCAAGTTCAAATTTGGTCATGGTTCGATGGTTTTTGGCAGAGTTATGCCCCTTTCACTTTAAAAATAATATGAAATTTTCAGTTTCCGTTCATTATCTCCCCAATGGTACAACACATTCAACTCAAACTTGACATATGGATATGTCATGAGAAAATACAGGTCAAGGTCGAATTTGGTCATGGTTCGATGATTTTTGGCAGAGTTATGCCCCTTTCACTTTAAAAATAATATGAAATTTTCAGTTTCCGTTTATTATCTCCCCAACAGTATTACACATTCAACTCAAATTTGACATATAGATATATTTTTGGAATGCGCAGGCCGAGTTTGAATTTGGTCATGGTTCAACGATTTTTGGCAGAGTAATGCCCCTTTCACTTTGAAAATGATATGAAATTTACAGTTTCTGTTCATTATCAACCCAACAGTGTTACATATTCAACCCCAAAATTGACATATGGATATGTCAAAGGAATGCGCAGGTCAAGTTGGAATTTGGTCATGGTTCGATGATTTTTTGGCAGAGTTATGTCCCTTTCACTTTGAAAATAATATAAATACATCTTAGGAATAAGCAGTTTAAGTTGGAATTTGGTCGTTGTTCTATGATTTTGGACAAACTTATCTTTCCTGAATGTTGAAAAAATGTTGAACTTTCAGTTTCAGCACTCATACTTTTGTGGAAATGTATATAGCCATTATTTTGGCTACAAATATGCAATATGCTATTTTCAATAGGTTAAGACTGAATAATTTCAGTGCCTTGAACATTGTATAAAAATGGTTTGTGTTAACATTGAAAGGTTTTAAGGGCTTTGAACATAGAATGAAAAAAATAATTTGTGCAAACAAATTTGGAACTAAATATTATAACATTTGAAATTTTGGCTGCATGCGGGGGCATCCGTGGCATGATGACACATTTCTAGTTCAGTACAGTGTTTAATTGAGGACTTTTAGTAGTTAAATTCATATTACTTCAAGAAATATGAAACCGTTTATTGTAATTTAAATGAAGGCTTAAATGTATTTTGTTTTAACTGTAGTGAAGTCTGTATAAGTTAAGACATTATATCCAATATTCACTGTGAATTCTATATTAGTAAAGACTTTATCATGTCAGATATTCACTGTAGTGAATTCTGTATTAGTACAAAGATTTAGTCATGCCAAATATTAACTGTAGTGGAGTCTGTGTAAATGAAAAAACATCATCGTGTCAAATATTCACTGTAGTGAAGACTGTTTTTATATTTCAGTTGTTCACGGTTGTTAAAAATGTAAAAGAAGCTCATGAATGTCAGGAGCATGGTGAAACCCAGGAGTTTGATGACGATATTGAATATCTGCTAGCAGGTATTGAGTCAATAGAACCTATGTCCACAAGGTGCCTTAGGTAATGTACCTTCTATATTTTCATATTCAATTTTATATTGTAATATTGTCTGAAATGTAAATTTTCAAACGTTTAGATAATAATATTTCTTTCCTGGTAACATTCCATAGTTCCATTTGATACTGGGACCTATTCTTATTGAATTGTCATTGATTTCCTTAGATTGTTAATATCATTTGTGGATTACACAAAATAGGTGTGAGCAGCAAATTAAAAAAACCCTTATCTTGGTACTGGCAACAGAGTGTACCCATGCAACCAGTGTAGACCAAGATGAGCCAGCTCTTGCTGTCTGATCATGATTTGCACTGTTTGCCATCTCTACTAATTATGAAAATTTCCTGAAAAATGATCAATGATTTTATCTTGATTGAATAATGGACAAGTCTATTTTAGATATTTAGCAAGGTGAGGGTAAAACTTACTGATGTAGAGTCAGTTGTTCTTGCTGTTGGAAGATATAGGATCAATTCCTGTTAGATTTATTTAACTTGAATTTTATGTTTGAAATCTATCCAGCTCACATATTGAAAATCTATGTTTCTACCTCGCACTTGCTTGAAAACGTGACCCTTAATATGCTAGTGCAAAAATAATATGCCTTTGTCATAAAAATTTGAGACAATCCAGCCTGCATATCTGTGAAGTCTAATGACGTCTATAATGTTTGCTGAATAATTTCTGTCATTTTAGTATTGAAATTCTTTAAACTGACATTCCTAGCTGATTGAATCCATTTCGCAAACTTAGCAGGTTTTAAAAGTGTTGAAACTATTTTCACAATGTGAAATGAAAGTCATTTTCAGATTGTAGGTCATGGGTGAATTGGGATTAAATGACTCTTGACCTAGGTGGCTGCATGTGTTTTAGATTATACAAAATAAATTGTCAAAGGCTCCACAAAAGAGAGAGTTTCCCATCAATATGTTTTAACAATTCAACAATTTTAAAGACAAGACAATGAGAACAGTGTTTTTCTGTGTTTTTCAGTTGTGTTGGGTTAGCACAGAAATGTACAATACCAGCCTTCAGGATGCATCTACGAGCACATGGCACAGTTACAAAAATATTTCAGTGTTTACAGGATGCTGCTGGCGACCCTGTAAGATATACTTATACCCTTTAAATTTGATGTTATTTCAGAGTTTGTGGTCTAGTGATTAAGGTTGATGACTTAAAGAACTAACCTTTATATTAAAAGGGTTGTGCATTGGTAAGTCTTTGGAAGGAGACTGAAAACAGTTAAAGTGATAACTAGCTGAACACTGAGACAATTTTTCATAGGTGACAGAATAGGCCCTACTCTTTTAACTTTGAGGGGATGGGGTGATAACAGTATTTTTGTAGAAGAGGAAAACATGTGATGTGAAATGAATTTTAGAGGAAAACAGTGATTTTAGAGAGTTTTTTCTGCTTTAAAAGGAATAAAAGGCCAGACTTCATTTTCAAATTGCTAAATGACATTCTCTCATTTATAGGATTCAGTGGTCAATTATTCTATATTATCTCACAGGGTTAATTTGGTCTGGAAAAAGTTATGGTAAAGTTTAGCACTATGATTTCAATAATAAAACAATTGATCGATTTTATCTGTAACTGAATATGAAAAACAAATTTTTAACTGTAAGTCAAATGAAAAACCTTGGTAAATTGGATATGTTTTTGTCTTTAAATGTATTTGTGGTTATTCTTGGGCAGAGCTGTTCTTCTCGAGTTTTCATGTCAGCATCACATTTAAATCAAAGTTTTCTTGCCACTTTACTTTTTCACAGAATCCATTGTGGTATTGCTTTAAAACATGAAATATTTATTTGTATGACCTTCACCCCTTTTTTCTTAGCAAGAGTGCATAACTCTGTCATGGATTTGACAGGATTAGTCCATTTTGTTACTTTCAAAAATTTCAAAGACCTATTCTTATTTCACTGCAAAATATTGAGAAAAATCAATTGCATAGTTTATTTATGGTATATATTTAATAATGATAAAATCTATTTTTGGGTAAGTGTATTTTCGGTTTGTTTATATTCCAGAGTTTAGCATTGTGTACATCAGCTCTCATGTTTATGTTGAGTAGAGACCGTCTTAACATGGATCTGGATCAAGAAAGTTTAAATCTTATGTTGAGACTTCTAGGGGTGGACCAGCAGGAGGACATGGTCACAACGTTGAGTCCGACGGCCGAGCGGGCTCTCAAACGCAACAAGGATAGGGTGCTGGAAATATATAAAGAATTTCTTCAACAATCTGGGACCAAACAAGATTCTATTGATACAGAATGTTTGTCAGTAAGTAATTTGAAAAATGAAAAAACACATATTTTCCATGTTGGTACTGCTAGTTTGTTGTCACAGTTTTCTTTGCTCAATTGGTTACGGCCACTGACATTGAACAAGCTGCTGTGTTAATATGTGCTGCCAGTGAAGTGGAATAATTTTCTGTTAGGGAACGATTTTGTTATCTATCTTTGGGTCAAGTGTCTGAACAGGTGTGTGCTTGGACTTGCACATTAATACACCAGAGGCATTTCTTCAAATAAAAGCTCTGTTTAGCTTTATGGCCTTGGCCTTAAACCAAACAAAGCAAAAACAAAATTGTTGTTGCAAATTTGAAAAAATACTCCTTGTTTTAGTTTTCAACTTCTAACTATTGATTATATTTAAGAATCAAGAGTCAATAACCACCACAACATCAATCTGATTATCATCTCATAATTGACTTGCGTTTCTGTTTCAAACTGTTACTGTCATAGTGCTAGTTTTTGTCCCTAAACATCTGTTGAAGTGTGAGGACTTCATTGATAGGCGACAAACTTAATGTTCTACCTAAGTCACAGATGTGTCTATACATAAAATCTTACACATTAATTTTTTTAATGTGATATATATTTTTTATAAACAGCAGATTGCACACAGGGCAATGCAAATTCAATTTCTGTTTTTGTTTTGAATATCCTAATGCTTCTAGGTATGGTTTAACTTTGTATCTGTAAAAATTTTATTTGGGCATTAATGACCAGGTGCTTAAGGTTGTTGACTTCAAATCATTTGCCTCTAACAGCTCTAGGTCTGAACTGTGCAGGTGTCTTCAAATTCTTTCATGTGAGAAAGCTATCCTGCTAGCTTACAGAAGATCAGTGGTTCTACTCATGTGCCAGTTTGTGCCAGAAATAATGCACAGAGGGGCACCTGATAATTTCCTCTGCCAATAAAGCTTGAAAGTCGCCATAAATATGACCTATACTGTGTTGGGGCGATGTTAACCCCATATTGATGAAATAAGATAATAACAGTAGTAAATGTTCAGAATTAAAACATATTGACATAACACCATTGTTGAGAAATGCTATGCTTCACATAGCTACATTGGTATGAATTTTATATATAAAATTAAAAACAAAATGACAAGATTACAATGTATTTCTTAATTGATTTTCTGAATCCTGAACAGTGTTTGTGTTATGAGGCTAATAACATCAACATAATAGTAATAGTGCTTTTGCTCTAAGTAAGTTGTACTTACCTTTAAAGCAGCATGCCTCCAGATCCATGCTAATTTTCATGAAAATTTTGAAAATGTAAAAGTAAAATATTGTGAAGTAAACAAAAAAAATAATATTCAAATTGCAAATGGCACTTAAAATCCTTGTAAAATACCAAAAAGAGGTCAAAATATGCAAAAATAGCCCTTACTGTTTTAGTTACTGAGTAGAAATATAGTGATAAGTACTGCCAAATCAGTCAATAAGTGCACAGTACATGTAAATTATTTCTTGAATTTTGTATTTTTCTATATCTTAGTACATTTATCTCTTGAAATTTTTTGTTTCATCTGCAAGCATGCAATTTTAAAAATAGTGAAGTGGAGTTATTTATAGAAATGCACCAATCAGGGTAGAAAAGTTCTAAAAATAGAGATCAATGCATTATTTAATTTTGAAAATAGTTTCAGGTCTACGCTTTTAATATTGATAATTTGTTCATATATTTCATGTTGAACTAATAAACTCTTCCCATTTATGTTTAAATTATAGTTTATTCTTCATGACTTGTTGACTTTTACATCAGTTTGAAATATGCCGTTTAATATTTTATTGTCAAATAATAAATTAGGAATATGATGTGCCAGTGACAATCATCCTTACATGTTATGAATCTATTTTATACTTGATTTATTTATACAATGTATTTGATATCCTATTCATAGTATATCTGTATATTTTAAACAGAATTTACAATACTAGTTACAGACACACTGACTTGCCAAGGGTCAAATCGAAACATCTAAGTCTATTTGTTGATGTAAAGTTGCAAAATGCACTGTCATGAATTTTTGTTTACTTCACAACTAGAAGGTTTATTGATTTAGTAAGCTATTTAAGGAAAATATGTTTTAAAAATTGTTTGGAGATGAGACCTTCATGCTGGTAGCTGTAATTAATCAGAATATTTTTAATCAGTTATTTTCCAGTATCTACATGGTGATAAATATTACTTTTTTTCAGATTATGATTAGAGACTTTTAGAGTACATATTTGAAGAGTCAGTCTTTGTAAGAGGAATGTAAGGTCTTTTGATCTGAGATTTATTAGTTTGAATCTGGTATAATGCCATTCTAATAACATTCTCCATCAGTGTTTGCAGTTAAGTGAAATTGGTAGTGTTAAGTGGAGAAGTTGTAGTATGTAGTGGAGAAGTTGTAGTATTTATTTAAGAAGTTGGTATTGTTAAGAGGAGAGGTTGGTAGTATTAAGTGGAGAAGTTGTAGTATTCAGTGGAGAAGTCGGTAGTATGTGGTCAAAAATGTGTGAAGTATTAAGTGGAGAAGTTGGGAGTATTAATTAGATGAAGGTTTAGTATTAAGTGGAGAAGTTGTAGTATTCTTTAGAGAAGTAGGTAGTATTCAGGGCTCATCCGGAAGGGCGATTCAGGCGAAAACTTCGCCGTGTATATTTCCATTTAGCTCTCACAATTGATCAAAGAGAAGTCAACATCGCCGATAAAATCTTAATTCCCAAAGAGTAATTACTTGGCGATGTAAAGAGTAGAGATTGTATACGCCCATATGACGACTGCTAATTATCATTATCCAATCAGAGCGTCGCTTTATACTACCCTTCTACATGTCTGCTTAGCGATAGACCGCCTACTCTAAACAGTAAATAATGAGAGCATCGGCCCGAAACGGATATAACTGTGTGACAGTTTTAATGCGGGATTTGGCGATAATTATAGATTGTTTTTTCCCGATCATCTTAACACGTGCAAATCTTCCCAAATTGATATACACGCGGTGTTTAACCCGAGTAAAGGTGATCTGCAATGGGGTTTTCACGGCTATCACAAAACTGTTAGTCAATTAAAAATAATCAATTTCATTAATGATCAGCGGCCGGATTAAAAACTTAATCGTAGTTTTGAATGGTTTCAGTCCGTTAACATGAGTTAAAAAATTGTCATGTCGCTCGAAGATGAACGTCATGGCTGCAGGGCGAAATGCCCAAACCTAGAAGTAAAAGAAAGTAAAAAATTCTACCCAAAAATTTAAGAAAGCCAATTCGCAATCTTACGATTGGTATGTTGCAGACAGTGAGAGTGTTTGGCATCGTTATCTTTATAGAAATGCCAAATTTGGCACAGCTTACGCACGTGGTCATGATCGGTATGCTACATATCGGTCGTATATCATGTGTACATGTATACAACAACAAAATTTGTCAGGAAAGAAGTGTTCTTATTGTTTCAATAGATATATATATATATATATCTGTTTTAATGTCATAAATATGACGATCAGATTAAGATTTATCAATATTGTAAATTTCAAAAAGCATTATTTATAAAGATATTACGAGTTTAACATTTCATGAAAATAAAGGGAGGTAATTAGAAATTTATTTTCTATAATTTCTCAGTCAAATTTTTCAATAAGAAATGAATGTATATAATTTTAGTGGTCAAATATAATGTGCACAAATGTTTGCAGTACATATTTTACATATTCTTTGATGTTTGAAAATTGTTTTATAAGCATAACTATATGCACATAAATATGACATTACAACATGCAAGATAATATAAGAATTTTCTGTAATCAGGACAGTATCATAGTCAGATACCCATGTCACATAACATGCAATCAATAAATGTTAATGGTTCGGCCATGGGTATCCGACGATGGAACAGTATAGGCAGATTTTGTTTGAAACTCTATCTTCTATTAAAAGTGAGGAAAGTAAAAATATGAAATTAATTTATTCATCAAATTTTTTCTTACACAATATTATCAATAAATCTTCATGAAAATATATAAACAAATATGTAGAGAAAGCTTATAAATAGCAAATAAATAGTTTGTGTTTATATTATAGTTAAGGATGTATAGCCATGCATGTTAATGCATACACATTGGGCTGTTTCCCTTCTCCCTATTTTTTCGCGAGGAAGTCACTTCTCCCTAAAATTTCCCCCCAGGATGAGCCCTGGTATTAAGTGGGGAAGTTGGACTATTAGGTGGAGCAGTTTAAGTATTTAGTTGAGAAGTTGAAGTATTCATTGAAGAAGTTTGAGTATTAAGTGAAGAAGTTGGAGTATTAGGTGGAGCAGTTGCAGTATTTATTGAAGAAGTTGGTAGTATTAAGTAAAAAATGTGAAGTAATAAGTGGAGAGTTAAGAGAAGTTGGGAGTTGTAAGTCAAAAAGATGTAGTATTAAGTGGATAAGTTTTAGTATTAAGTGGAAAAGGTTGGAATATTAATTGGAAAAAGGTGTAGTATTTATTGAAGAAGTTGGTAGTATTAAGTAAAAAAGGTGAAGCATTAAGTGGAGAAGTTGGGATATTAAGTGGAGAAGTTGGGGGTATTAAGTTGTAAAGTTTTAGTATTAAGTGGAGAAGTTTAAGTATATATTGAAGAAGTTAGTAGCAGTAAGTCTAAAACGTGAAGTAGTAAGTGGAGAAGTTGGAGAATTAAGTGGAGAGGTAGGGAGTGTTAAGTGGAACAGTTTGTAGTATTAAGTAGAGAAGTTGTGGTATTGATCTAGGAAGATTGTAGTATTCAGTGAAAAAAGTGTATTATTCAGTGTAGAATTAGGTGGAGAAGTTGGGAGTGTTAAGTAGAGAAGTTTTAGTGTAAAGTTGAGAAGCTGTAGTATTTATTGAAGAATTCGGTAGTATTGAGTGGGAAAAGGTGTAGTTGTAAGTGGAGAAGTTGTAGTATTCAGTGAAGAAGTTGGTAGTATTAAGTCAAAAAGGTGAAGTATCCAGTGGATGAGTTGGAGAATTAAGTTGAGAAGTTGGGAGTATATAGAGAATAACATGCTACTGTCTTTTGATATCAATTTTATCAGGCGAGGCTGATATGGGCTAGAAAGGGCGAGGCTTGCCGAGCCCTTTCTGCCCATATCAGCCGAGCCTGATAAAATTGATATCAAAAGACAGTAGCATGTTTTTCTATTTATCATGTATTACATAATAACTGTCAAAATAACAAAATTATCTACTTTTAAATAGCGAATTTCTTTAAAAAGGGGGATTTTTGTTCAAAGAAATAATTCTTGAAAGCAAATTCCTCCGCCCCTGAAACATAGAATTTTCAGTGAATGGCCGCCATTTTCTCTTTCGACTCGGATAAAAGATGCAAAAGAATGTAGGCCTAATACGATAAAATTCTTACCTTTAATTTAAACATTGATCCAAAAATCCACTTAGAATCACATAAACTAAACTTTACTGCAATATTTGTCTTGAATTGTCAAATTCAAAAGTTCATCATAGAAAAGTCAAATCGGCAATCAAACACAAGCTACTGTACACAAACATGCGTCTTATTTTTTAAACAAAACAATTTGTTCACTTATTAAATAATAATCAGGCGAAATTAAGTAAACAGTTACAAGTTCTCAAAGAAAATCGTCCAGCCTGTTTGTTATGATTACATGTATAGTATGACGTGAACATCGATGATGTCATTTGCAATATAAATTATGACGTCACTTCATTTAGTTGGTGCTAAAACTATTCGCTATCTAATTTATTCGTAATTGAAATCGAAATAATAAATAAATAAATATCGCATCTTGATTCAAGACTTGTAAGGGTATGAGATTGCATGTACATTGTAGAATTCACATGCTGGTGAAAAAAAGAATATAAGCAATTGAAAAAAGTCCGTTAAAATGGGCGGGGCTTATTTTTGATATCAGGTTACTGACCTGATATCAAAAATAATTATCAGGCAAGTGTTATCGGGCAGTTACCATAGCAGTTGCATGATAAAATAGTTTAGTGCCTGCTGTATGTGACTTGAGTGTTGGTCAGCTGACAGTAAACACAATAAGATAAATCATAATGTAGTCACATAATATTAAATATAAAAATATATTATTTATAGGATTCATTATTGTTTACAATTTCAGACTGGTAACCTTGCCATGGAGTCATTGTTGAGTTTAACATCAAGACGGGCAGGTGAATGGTTCAAAGAAGAATTAAGGTCACTTGGTGCTTTAGATCATATTGTAGATACTGGTATGATTGTTTTTATATTTATTACTAATTGTTTATGAAACACATATTATTTGTGAAATCTCTTTTCACATATACGGAGTGTTGATTAAATTATAAGTTCCCTTAACTTCAAATTTAGGTCTCCTGACATCAATTATCAGGCCTCTTTACAGGTCGCTCACATTTCCTCTGCAAATTGTGAAGTCTCTATTTACATTTAATAATTGTTATCAGACTACAGATTGTTGACTAAGAAATAATATCAGTCTCAGTGTTACTGTATTTATCGGCTATTTAACACTGGTTTGAAGTTTTGACCATGAAGCCCGTTTTCAATTTAAATCAAAATTTTTCTTTTCAAATTTTCAAAAATACAATAAATGCTGTGTTATTTTCCCCAAAATTTAAGGAAAGGGTACCGTCCCCTATCTGTGAAAAAAAGGTTTGAAAATTTACAGCTGCTGATTATTAAATCTCAGTTTATATGATATACTGAATGTTTATCAGTTGTCAAGTTGCCTTCACAGTTTGTTTATCTAATATCATGATATCTCTTCAGATAATTTATGTAGTCTCAATTTACATTTACTGATTGTTTATCAGTTCTCAAGTAATCTCTACAGATTGTTTATCAATAAAGAAGGAAATACTACCTTTTTTTTTTTTTTTTGTATAATGTTAAGATTTCAAAACACACTAGAAACTTAAGACTACTATTTAAAGCAGCCTTTAAAGTATTTTTAATAAATGATTCTCTTTTAAAAAATTCTTCGTACTAGTGCATGAAAATTCTCCTTTCAAAAATCTTTACGCGTTTGAATATGCAGTTTTGGGAATCTGTGGCCAAGGGGTTAAGGTCATTGACTTCAAACCACTTGCCCCTCATACCTCAAAATTCAGGAAATTTTACCATAACTTTATTTGTTGACTGATTTCATTTGTGATATATATGAAGCCATGCTTGTTTTTTGTTTCAGTTTGTTCATGTATAGAGGCAGTAGGTGATAACACAAGCGTGTTGACTAACAGCAATATAGAAAATCTCAAGAAAGTTGATAGATGTCTCAGGGTTTTAGAAAATGTATGTATAAATTGATCATTTTGTAAGAGTCACCTTTCTATTTGACATTTTGTGCCAGTTGCCTCATGAATTTAGCTATTTGTAAATTGATAATTTTATAAACGTAACATTACTGTTTGCCATTTTGTGCAAGTTGCCTCATGGTTTTAAAATATGTATTAAACATAATAAAGGTCTGTTCAATAAGAACCATTCTTGCATCATGATGTGACATTGCTTGAACAGTTAACAATAAAATGTTCGTTGTTGTTTTTTCAAAGAAAAATTTTTTTTTGCCATGTTTATGATAAGATTTGTAACATTTCACTGATACTGAATGTATTGTTATTTGTTTGGAATGATTGTCTTCTATAAATTAGTTATATTATATATTTTCAGGTAACATATTTAAATGCTGATAACCAGAATTATTTGATATCATATAAAGACTCTTGTTTAATACCATCTTTAAGTAGGTAAGTGTACGTCAGGTTTTAAAAGATAATTATTTAAACATACAATGATGTAACATATCACAAGACCGTTCTGAGGTTATTAAGACATTGTCTCAGGTTATAAAGCAATTTTGTCTGCTTAGATTTGACCTGAAATGTTTGATTGGTCAAAAACTGGCACAGAATTTATTCTGACAAATGAAAATCCTGAAACTCTGGACCAATTTCAGACATTATTATCCCTGCAGGACCTTAACAGGTAACTAAATGGGTTTGAATTACTGGATTCTATGCAGCTCTTAGTTTCAGCAGGTGAGCTGGTTTTAACCCCTGATGTTGCTTTAAGTTTGAAACACCGGATGTTAGCCCAAATCATCTTTCCTGTTTTGGTAGCATATAACCTAAGTTGTGTTGGTGTGCTGTAAAAACCCAAACTTAATGAACAAAATATTACCGAAAGGCTTTTAAAGTAACTGGTCATATATATTGAAGGTATTTGATAGTAAACCTTCAATGTAAGACATACTGTACAAATTGGCAGGGTAAGGGTAATTTGATGAATTTTAACATTTTGTTTGGTTTTTGAGTTATTGCCCTTGATTCACTTATTAAAACGCAGTGAGATTTTTTCATTTGTATTTTACATTAAAGAGGTGCATAGTAGAACAGTAAATATAGTTAAATGGTTAAACTTAAATTATCTCTTGAGATATTAACATTTATAAATTTTCTCATGACTGGTTTAATACACTTTTCGATAACAGGAATTTTTCTTGTGAAAAGTTCAGGAGTTCTATCTTATTTGGTCTCTGGCATTTCATCCACTTCTTTCTGCTGAAAATTTTGGTGGTTTGAAAAAATTTCAACATTATTACTTAATTGACAGAGTGGATATTTCTTTGGTTTTCTCACAACAACAAATGCAGGAAAGAGGACTTAAAAAATTAATGAGGATGACTCATTATGGATATACAACACTGGTTTTGGTTGAATGATTAAAACAAGACTTGTTTCTTGTTTTCTCAACATGTTAGTGGTTACTATTATTTATTTATACATTCCCTGTAACAGATCATACAGACTACATCACATTTGAGTATTGAACATTGGTATAGGTTTGTAAGTGAAATGTGAGTGAAAATCATGAAACATTTAACATTTTACTGTTAAGGTAGAGTAAAGGCAACTTAAATTTGATTATAATCTATGTAACCTTTAATGATATTGTAATCTGTTTGACCTTGAAAGACGCATTATCTTTGACCTTGGATTAGCTTATATACTATATGACCTTAATTGACATTATAGTGTAATGACCTTGATTGACATTATAAATACCTTGAAATATATCAATATCTTAATTAAATTGGCCAACATAGCCTGACTCACTTTGAATGACATTATAGTCCAATGATCTTGAATGAGCTAATTAAAATGATCTTGAATAACATAAACATCAAAATGACCTTGAATAACATTAAATGACCTTCCTTGTATGATGTTACAGTCTAAATGACCTTGAATGACATCATCATCTATAGAACTTTGAATGACCTTATAGTCAAAATGATCTTGAGTGAGGTTAAAATCTAAATGACCTTGAATGACAATCTATTCTAAATGACCTTGAATGACATTATCTAAATGACCTTGAATGACCTTATCTATATGACCTTAAATGACCTTGAGTCTAAATGACCTTGAATGACATTATAATCTAATGACCTTGTTTTTTTATTTTCAGAGCATTAAGAACATGTGAGGACTGTTTATCGATATATCCACTGAAAGACAATGTTTCAACAGGGAAGGTGGATAAGGAATCTTTTGGCTGGGTTGTTTATAGTTGTATACTTGCAATATTACGGGTGCTGCTCAATCTAACGCATGATAATGGTAAGTTATTTATAGCTTATCTCTTACAGTAAGTTGTCCTATTTAGGTGCCACCAGTGCAGAGTGAGTAAAGACACTGACATCCTATTATTTTGCCTTTATAAGCATCTCTTGCCATCTGGTTAAGGTTATTGACTTGAAAACACACTTGCCTTACACTGCTGTAGGTTCAAGCGGCATACCAGGGTCTTCAAATTATTCATGTGAGAATAGCTATTCAGCTAGCTCATAGAAAGTTGGTGGTTCTACTCTGGTGCCTGTTTGTGCCTGAAATATTGTACAGAGGTCTTCCTCCACCAGTAAAGCTGGAAAGTCGCCATATGACCTTTACTGTGTTGGTGTGACATTAAAACCCAACAACAACATTTGCTTTGGATTAAATACTGCTATGGACATTGGACAATTGATTCTTGATTTAAAAAAGATATCAGCCAGTGTATGAAAAGTTGCTGGTTCTTCTACAATATTTGAAAAGAAAGGATTATTTGAGTAAAATGGTTGCCTTATGACTTTCATACTGTCATTGTTACTTAAGTATCAAACCAGTCAAGCAAATTCAAAATTGCTTAGTAACTTTTCACTATGTTCACCTTGCAGTGAAGAATGATATATGATGTTATGTACTTTCAGATACAGGTTGTAAAAAGATAGGGGAGCAGGGTCCAGTCATTGAGACCGTCTTACTATGTATACTTCAGTCACCACAATATGTCACAGTTGATCTCAGATTTGACCTTTATGTACTAGTAAGTTATTTATCTTATTTGCATACATGTTGGGAAGTCGTTACCATAAACAGATAAAAGTATTCCTGTTCACTCTTCGTTAATACAGGGGAAAAAAATGAAATAAAATAACATTTGACTAAATCTTTCTTCATTTCTTATTGTTGAACCTGAAAAACCTATGACTGGTTGTATATGCCATTAGTAGAGAGCTGTCCTGCCTGTCAAGCTGCCCATTTTTGTGCCCCCACGTTAGTGGCGGGCATTTAGATTTACCCTTGTCCGTCCGTCCTTCCGTCCGTCCGTCCGTTCACTTTTGTGTCGCACGTAACTCAAAAAGTATTTGACCTAGATTCATGAAACTTTACAGGAATGTTGATCAGCATGTGTAGTTGTGCACCTGGGTATTTTCGTCTGGATATTTTTAGTATTTTCAGAGTTATTGCCCTTGACTTAGTAAAATTTTGCAATTTTCAACTTGTGTCGCATGTAACTCAAAAAGTATTTGACCTAGAGTCATGAAACTTTACAGGAATGTTGATCAGCATGTGTAGTTGTGCACCTGGGTATTTTCGTGTGGATATTTTTAGTATTTTCAGAGTTATTGCCCTTGACTTAGTAAAATTTTGCAATTTTCAACTTGTGTCGCATGTTACTCAAAAAGCATTTGACCTAGAGTCATGAAACTTTACAGGAATGTTGATCAGCATGTGTAGTTGTGCACCTGGGTATTTTCGTGTGGATATTTTTAGTATTTTCAGAGTTATTGCCCTTGACTTAGTAAAATTTTGCAATTTTCAACTTGTGTCGCATGTAACTCAAAAAGTATTTGACCTAGAGTCATGAAACTTTCTAGGAATGTTGATCAGCATGTAAAGTTGTTCACCTGGGTATTTTCGTGTGGAAATTTTTTGTATTTTTAGAGTTATTGCCCTTGACTTAGTAAAATTTTGCAATTTTCAACATGTGTCACACGTAACTAAAAAAGTATTTGACCTAGAGTCATGTTACTTTACAGGAATATTGATCAGCATGTGCAATTGTGCACCAGGTATTTTCGTCTGGATTTATTTAGTATTTTTAGAGTTATTGCCCTTCACTTAGAAATTTTTTGCAATTTTCAACTTGTGTCGCAAGTTACTCAAAAAGGATTTGACATAGTCATTAAACCTTATGGGCAGGTTGCTCATTATATTTAGATTTGCACCTGGGGTTTTGCTTGTGAATTTATCAAGTATTTGTAGAGTTATTTCCCTTGACTTAGTGAAAAGATTGACTGAACAGTGGCGCGGTGGGGGCACCCGTGTCCTACTAGTTTCAATAGTTTTAGTAGGTTCTACAAAATAAAACTAATTGTAGACCAGCCTACAGACATGTGATCATCTTCAGACATGTGAACATTTACAGTCTAGAATCAGGCCAGCCTTTCTTGGGTTCTGGCAGACCAGGCTATATAAATTTTTTGCTGCCTAATGTGTGTATTCCTTTAAAATTACAAATTAACAGTTGCGAATTTAAAGCAGGGCATGTCTATTCAGCATGGTAAGGGTTAGAACAGTAAACTGATGGTTTATAGGATAAAAATGTTAAGCTTCAATGAAATAAAACTGTTCAGTTAGCTCAATAGAGGGTTGGACTGTGAATCAGGTGACCGGGTTCGATTCCCTGACGATGCAGGTAACTTTCGTTGTGGTTGATCATGAAAACTTTATTTGATCATTTGCACTGTACCTCTGCTGTGGCGTATACAGAAGATATCAGTTACTTGCAAAAAAGAAGGTATTTATTACTGGTAAACCGCTTAACCATGAGCCCAGGAACGATAACTGAACTGTGCTCTGGTAAATTCAGTGTGTTCTTGAGGTTAAACTACCAACACACCAACACTTCAGTGAAGTATTTAATTTTAGTTGTTTTATGCAGTGAGATGTTTTATTTATATTATTTCAGAGCCTTGGGCTGTTGATAAACCTGGTTGAGCATAGTGATGAGAACAGACAAAAACTGTTAGAGATGAAAACACGACCAATGTTTGAATGTGCAGATCAAAATACCAACATGTTGGCTTATCTCTCACTTGTTGAGGTATAGTATTGTATTTAGTTTTAAATTATATAAGGATATTTCTCTCTATAAATTGTAATGTGATAAAAGTCAACCTCAAAAAGCTCCCTGACTGACCATTACTGGTGTTATATGATGAAAAGTGATGATGGCCCTAGTAGGGCTTGAACTTGAACCCACATTCCCTAGATTTAAGCAGCAAAACCCTTAACCACAAAGCCAAGTTCTTGTAGATTTGATTTGTTTATGGATGAAAGTGTCAAGTAAAGATAGATTGAAAAGAAGAAGAAAGTTGGTTAGATTAAAACTTTCTTTTTGAATTCTGTGATTCTGAATGATATCTGCACTGTAGTAATTAATGTATGAACCATCTACATTGGCTTTCCTATGTATATGTATTCTATCATATGTATAAGATACATTTAGTGTAAAATATCCAGTTCATTTAAATCAGTCAGATTCTTGCAATTGTTTATTTAAAATTAGTTATGTTTTGACATGTTTTGATGTGTTATGTTCAGGTATTCTCAAGACGAGAGCAGTCCGCCCAACAGCTAGAGGAAGCTGATGAACCAAAGACACCAGAAAAGTCGCCAAACAAGAGTGGTGAATGGCGAGAATCCGACTCCGGCATGGAGTGGATTATAGACTCAGCCAAGAAAGACAAATCAACGGTAAAAAAGAAATCCAAACCTGGTGACGAGGACAAAGATCTCGATGATGAGGAAACGTTTACTAAAGGTCAGTGAATGCTCTACAATGCTCGTAGCATTAATTATTTGTCTATGCCAATAGTATAGAACTAGGCAAGCCTTCTGACTAGGCTCTTCTGTCTGCTCTTTAATTCTTATAGTATTTAGTAGGAGCAGTAGTCCAGTGGTAGGACGCGCGCTTAGGGATCGAGAGGTCCCGGGTTCGAACCCCACTAGGGGCACTGCTAATTTCATTGAGCAAGAAATTTACCTGCGATTGCTTCACTTCACCCAGGTGTAAATGGGACACCTGAGGGTGGTATAAATCTGTTGCGCCAAAGTGTCGGCTGCACTAAGCGGAGTTAAAAGACTCCCCAGGGAGATTGATAGATAGATACCAGTAGCCCGATGACCAGGGGTAATAGCTGTAAAGTCGGTGAACGTGCGTAAGCATGAAAATTAGACTATAAAATGCGATTAATTACTTAATTCTACTGTTTAAATGCTAAAACCCTTTCAACAAACAATGGACAGTTCCGAATTCAAAGCAGGGCTTGTTGACTTTACAAAATTAATCACAGTGAGGCTTAATAGTACACAAGAATATATAATGTTTGTCTTATCCATCATGTGAGAAACAGTTAAGTAAAAAGAAATAGATGTTATACTGGCCAAGTTGTTATGGTCTCTTGCTCGTCATTGCTATGGGTTCGAATCCTGCCAGGGACTTTGGATTCTTTCATACAAGAAAGCTATCCAGCTAGCATCCGGAATGTCGGTGGGTCTATTAAGGCCCCTGCTTCAATTAAAATGAAACAGTTTACTGTTGTGAAAATGCATTTTAAGATCATGAGCTTTTTAATTTATAGGTAAAAAATTGATTTCTTTGAACATTTGTTAAGATATTTACTACACAATTTTTACATGTTTTATTGATTATATGTTCATAGCATTATCCAAGGCTGGGAAGCATATGGAAAACAGTATTGTAGCTGCATATGTGGCTCTACTTGTTGGCTGTCTAATACAGGGTAACAAGGTTAGTATTATTGACTACAAGGTTTTCATTATTAACATATTGGCTATTCATATTATTGCTTGAAATGCTGTTAAAATCATCCTGTAGATTAAAATATCCCCCTTGGCCAAATCTGTTGTTTTCATAGGTACATCTGGACCATAAGTTCAACGTCTTGAGTTCTGTGATTTTGTTCTCTATTCTGCATATATATTATATGTGTTGAATAAACCTCATCAGTTGTCTACACATTGTCTTTTATGAGGTTACAAATTTGGTAATTTTCTTTTAATTTTATACCATGTTTAAAAGATATGTTAGACGTCTTGTTATCATGTACAGAGTAACATGATATGCTAGACTTCTCGTTACCATGTACAGAGTAACATGATGTGCTAGACTTCTCGTTACCATGTACAGAGTAACATGATGTGCTAGACTTCTCGTTACCATGTACAGAGTAACATGATGTGCTAGACTTCTCGTTACCATGTACAGAGTAACATGATGTGCTAGACTTCTCGTTACCATGTACAGAGTAACATGATGTGCTAGACTACTCGTTATCATGTACAGAGTAACATGATGTGCTAGACTCGTTACCATGTACAGAGTAACATGATGTGCTAGACTTCTCGTTACCATATACAGAGTAACATGATGTGCTAGACTTCTCGTTACCATGTACAGAGTAACATGATGTGCTAGACTTCTCGTTACCATGTACAGAGTAACATGATGTGCTAGACTTCTCGTTACCATGTACAAAGTAACATGATGTGCTAGACTTCCCGTTTGCCAAAGCTTCCAGTAAATAGGTTCTGGCCAGACAACACATTTTGCAGTCTGGGCATGGTCTGTACTGTTGACAGTTTAATTTTATGATTTAAATGATATTGAAATCCCTTTAAATAGATAATGGGTTGTTCCATTTCAAAGCAGGACAGGTTCATTATATTCAAATTCAGTGATGCAAAGGTTGAAACATGTTATGATGTATGAAAGTACATGTATATGCTTTATGTAATATAATTTTGATGCTATAATAAAATTTCAGTTCAAAAGTTTTCAGTTTAACTATTTCCACACAGTATGCTGACATTTGAAAGTATGTTAAATCAACAGCTCATGTAATGGAGGGAATAATTGTATGATATTTGATCTGAATGAAAGTAATTCATATTTGAGTAAATACAGATAATAGCTCAACACACTTGTACTCGACAGCTGTTTGTTTAACACCAGGAGTGTATAAATACTTTGATTACAGAGATAGATAAAATGCATGAAGTGAGTGTTGTAAATATTAAAAGCAAAGAACAACATCAAAAAAAGAAAAGAAAAAAAGGAAAACAACAACAACAAAAAAGAAAAAAAACAACAAAACAAAAAAAAAAAACAAAAAAAAAAACAAACAAACCAAAAACAAAAATCCATAAGCAAAAAAAAAGAGCAAAAAACAAAAAAAACAAAACCAAAAAACAACCACCAAAAAAAAAAAGAAAGAAAGAAAAGCCCATTTATACAATACAATTCTTGAAACTATTAGACAAGTACTAATTTGATACACTTGCAGGCTGTTTCTATAATTATATCATATTATTTAACAATGATGGTAAAGAAATGTAGTTAATGAATGAAAAATTCGAGATTTCTTTCTCTTAGTTAATTTTCCATGTGTTACAAGTAACTTTCACAAGTAGGAAGTAATAATGAGCTGCGTCACGACAAAGCAATATAGTGCGTTTGCGAGCAGCATTGATCTAGACCAGCCTGCGCAGTCTGATCAGGATCCATGCTGTTCGCTGTCAGTTTCTCCACTTGTAATAGAGTTGGTAAGCGACCAGCATGGATCCTGATCAGACTGTGCGGATACACAGGCTGGTCTAGATCCATGCTGGTCGCAAACCCACTATGTTGGTTTTGTTGTGGCGCGGGTCATATATTGGAAGCATTTGTTTTAATGTGCGCTTTCATATACCCTTAAACTTTTTAGATTTCAGTTGCATGAATATTTATAGAATATCACTTTAGAGAAATCTTTTTTTTTAAACTTCTGCTGTTGACAAGGAAATGTTATGTTGAAATTTTAGTTTTGTTCTTGACACATCTTTGGCAATATCATTGATTAAAAAAAAAAAAATATTAGGCATTCTTGTACACAAAAGATATTGCACTCAAAGTGAAGTTGTTAAATTGCAAGATCATACTATTTAGATGTATGAAATAAGTGTCCTTTGACAATAGTAATGAAAAATGGTATATTTATAAAATAACATACATGTCCACCTTAAGTTTCCATTGTATTCACGTCTCTTCACTGCTATAGGTTTAAATCCCAGAAGGGATAATTGGTCAGTGGTTCTACTTGGTGCCCTTTTTTACAATGCCTGAAAGGCAACTACTTTTATCATGAGGGCCTAGAAAGTCATACAAATCATAACAGTGTTGATGTGACATTGAACACACACACACAAATTTGGTTAGAGTACAAGTGTTAGATTTGGGGTGTCTGGCAGAGTAGTTATGGTCATTGACTTCAAACCACTTGCCCCTCACCTCTATGGGTTCTAAACTTGCCAGGGACCTTAGATTCTTTCATATGAGGAAGCTATCCAACCAGCTTACGGAATGTTGGTGGTTCTAATCAGTTGCCCATTTGTGCCTGAAATAATGCACAGAAGAGCACCTGAGGTCTTCCTCCTCCAGTAAAGCTGGAAAGTCGCCATAAGACCTGCAATGTTAAACCGAACCCCAAAAAAAATGTGTTTGATCTATTCGTACAACAAAGGACAGGCTGGAAATGAAATTAAAAAAAATCATGCTTAGATGATAATAAGAGGACTCATGATTCTATGACATATTAACTTTTTTATGGTCTCAATGTTTACAGGAGTGTTCAGATGGTGTAAAAGAAAGTTTACCACAGCAGAACTTTGATGGTATGATATATATGTTGAAAAAATTCCTGGGTTTTATGAATCTTACAGTAAGTATATCATGATTTTGTCATACTTGAAATTTAATCCATTAAATGAAAATAATGATAATGAATTATCTAGGCCAACAGTATAGAGCCAGGCTATACTGCATGTAGTTTAGGTATCAGTATAGAGCTGATCTTGCCGGCATGGAGACTAGGCCAAGGCCAGGCCAGTCACCAGAGTCTAGGCCAAAGGTATGGAGCCAGGCCAGACTTTAAAGGTTTAGGTCAAATGATAAAAGTTCATGGACAAGAAGGGTTAATTTGTTTATACTGGAATAAAAGAGTTTATACTTTTATCCCTTATTATGAAAAGAACTTTAATGATTATAAGGTGGATAGTTGAGTAAAAACAACTATTATTAGCTACAGTATACAGGAAGTCAGTGTAATGCTCACAGTTATTCTTTTAGTTAACCTTTTGGGCACTAGCTTTGATAAACAACCAATAAAGATCTATAACAAGTCTGCATTTCCATGCAGTCTGACAAAACTCTATGCTGTTGTTTCAAGTTAGCTAGTCTGTTTTGGAGAAAAATTAAAACTAAATTTGACTGCTGTGGCATCTTTTTGCAAAAGGATTTGAAAAGGTTTCAACATGAAACTTTGAATTCTTGTTTATCATTACAAGATGCAGTTGGTTAACAAGGGACATTATTGTGAAAGCAATTTTCTAAGGGTTATGCCCCTTTTTTACCAAACAATTGTTAGAACCGGGTCCAGTGCTCTTGTTTATTGAATTAGTGTTGAAAACTTCCTGCGGACCTGAGCAAATTCAAAGTTTGGCAACTAAAAGTAGGTCATATTCATTACTTAAAAATTGTAAGATAAAAGAACATATTCATTACTTAAAAATTGTAAGATAAAAGAAGAGTCATGTAATTATTATTTTTCTTTTCAGAGTGGATCTGGGTCAGCCGGGGGCAAGTCTATAGAGAGAGTGATAGATGTGTTGGAAAAATGCTGAAATCCTCCAGTTTACACACAGACATATATATGCTGGCATAATTGTACTGATGTACACATACACACATATTTATATGCCAATTTGACAGCAGAGAGTGTAGCAAAGCTACATATGTGTGGAACAAATAAAATGTTCCTACACATTATACAGGCACTCGCACTGTTACGCTCCAGTGAATTTAAAAGACCACACATATAAGTGTCATGTGTCAAGGTCATAGGTCAGAACATGGCTGTAAAAATTCCAAGATAAATTCATGAACACTGTGTTTAGATCTATGTAAACACATTGAAATATGAAAGAAACAGTGAAAGAAGGAACTGTTGTTATTTGATAAAATCTAGGTGTTCAAATAGGGTTTTATTGTGATATGTTTTATGTTGATTGATTTTGAAGTATATTTTTTGTGTTAATTGGTGCGGGAAATGTTAGGGAGTGTCCCTGAAAGAGTGTATGGATCTCAAACTCTTATTATGTAACTTCTTTACTTTACTGGTTAAATACTGGTTTTTAAGGTATGGTTTTTTTCCTATTTTGTATATTTATTCTATTATATTTAAGATAAACTATGCTCATTCTTGAGTAAAATATTTTAATCACAGAAATATGTTGAAATCTATGAAATTTTTACCAAATATGTCTAATTTAAATAAAAGAATGTATAAACTATATATGGGAAGCTGCATTCCTTATCACAGGTCAAGTAAAGTTGGTCCTTTCTTAATGACACTATTTATTCATATTGTGACCACCTTACATGTGTAGAATTTTAAACATAACATATCTTCTTTGTGTGAAGTCAAGACATATTTATTTTATATTTAAAAAAGATACTGTGTGGCAATTATCAATATTTTCTGTAATCAAATTTGAGCATAGTATATCATTAACAATATTTTTTGCTGAGATGAATTTATGGAGTACGGTATGCAAGCAAGTTGCTGGTAGTGTTACAAGACTTAATCATGTTTATAATTCAATAAGCTCCTACATGTTTTGTTTTAATGAGATATAAATGTAGGAAACATAATTGTGTTCAGATGATGACGATGTTATATTCAGACCTAATTAGCCAAAGACTTGAGGGGCTGGGGAATTGTATTTCCTGAATTTCTAGAGCAGTAAATAAATATAGATGACAGGAAAGACAAATCTGCAGGTCAGAAGTCATCTTTGCCACGCCACCCCCATACACCTGCCAAACACATGTCACAGTTCCGTTCCCTTTGTTAACAAATTAGCATGTTATAAAATTATTGCATATTTATTTGAACCATTTGAAATGGTTTTGTATTTTATCTTGACATTATGCAAACATTGAATGATTATTGGTGATATATTTTCTCTTTCAAGGGAGGTAATTCTTCTGGCTATATTGCCTGATTTGTAAACATTGAGTTAAAAGCACTTTTTCATGGTGGAATAGAATATTGTAAAGGATTTGAAATGATCTTTTTCTCTTGTTGTACACAAGTAATAGTTTGTAGATATATTTGGCTTATTTATGAAATAAACTATGGATTTTCATGGTGTATTAGTTGATAATATATGGGTTGAAGTTTGGAAGAGTAATTTGAACAAACTTAAACATGTCCATGATAAATATGAAATTTTTATCCATATTAACAATAGTCAGTGTTGAAATTAATCAGTTATTTCAAGATTAACATGTCAAGCATTTTGTGGAATAAAATTGATTTATTTTTTTTTGTGTTTTTTTTAGTAAAAATGTATTGCTGTCCACATTTCCTGTATGGAAGATTTCGATTCTCTTGCATATTTGTTTCTATTATTGTAGATAGATTCTATTTGTATAAGCTTATTTTCTTCTGTTTTATTTAATGGTAGGAATTCATGTAAATTTTGAAGTTTTTAAGAATTTACAGCATAAAATTTCCAAGAATTTTTTGATAAACATGATAAGGCACTAAATTCTTAGAGAGGTTTTAGAATTTATTATGATTTATTTTGTATATTTTAAATTTATTTATCTTTCACTATATAAATCCAAGTATTTTTTATGCACCCAAAACTTTTTTTTTCTCACAGAGAAATTTTTACTAAATTATCAGTAAGAATATAATTTATAATAATATAGACCACAGCTGTTGTTGTGTATTATGTTTATTTATAGTATTATAGAATTCTAGTAGATATTAAACGTTTAGACTGTATGTTTGCATAGAAAGTTTTATCAAGATAGTACATACATTTTTTTGACCTGTGCGGAGGGGGTAGGGGCGATGGTTCTTTGTTCCTTTCAAAGGGGATGATTGAGTCGCAAATTCTGTAATGCAGGGACAAATTAGCAATAATATTAATATTAACTACTTTTTACATATGACAAAAGAAAGTAACTTCAAATTCAAGGGATGAGTAATCCTTTACAGAAATTTGTTAGTATTTTTATGATTGATAAATAAAGTGATTTGACTGAAGAAAATTAATTTGTACCATGGCTTGAAAGAACTCAATAAATAATCAATATTCTTTGAGGAGGAACATTTTTGAAACAAACATATTTATTTTAGATGATTGTGTTGACAAACCCGTAAAAAGCATTACATTCCCTTGTTATGCATAATCTATGATAAAAACATTGTCAATTTTCTTATTGTTTATATATAAGATTTTTAATGAAATGATATTTGTTATTGATATGCCAATACATTATATTTGACACTTGTTTTACTTTAATAGTTTAAAAGACAAAACTTTTTTCATACATGAGGGCCCCAGGTTATAAAAGAAATTTTTAAGTCTCAGATTTTGATCTTGGGGTACCTGATTGGTCAAAAACCAGCAGTGACCGTATACTGACCAATGGAAATCCTGAGATTTGAGAAACGACAAATGTTTTATAACGTAGATTTCTCTGTCATTTTGTTTGTATTCTCTATGATTTATTTAAATACTATGATGATAATAATATTATCTTTATCACATAAACATGACATCATTTGCGTTATTCAAACATAGTAAAAAAGCACACTAATGTTTATGTTTCACTATAGGCGCGTCAATGAAAGAAAGACTATTTTACTTTCAACCATTCTTATTTTGGGTATGTGATAAATAGAATATTATATTCTTGAAGGTTCAATACTAAATTTATTGAAGTCATTTAATGAAAGAGTATACACTTGCCAGAGGCTTGCATAATATGATACTAATATAATATTCAATTTGTTCAATGAATTTAGTATTGAACCTACACTCATTCAATATCCTCTATCAGATTTTGTAGGACTATACTATCATCAGTTTGAACGAAATATATTTTCTTTTTGCATAAATGAATGAGAATTTGTTTATTTTGAAATTGAATGAAGTTGACCTGTATAATGTTTTTTCATTAGTCCAATTTTATTTATGGTTTATGAAAGCAATAAACAACTTTTTATTGGTCGCTCTTAACTTTGGCATAAAAAATTTTAGTCTTTTTATTTTCTGGACATTTTGATCATTCTAGATTTTGTTGACACAGAGATCACAAGAATTTTGAACCAAGATCATGGAAGTGGATGACGAAATAGTCTGTCTGTAAGACTGTGATCTTGTGATTCACATGCAAGTTGTAACCTTTCTCTGCATAATTATTCTGTTTGACTTAGTCACAATTATTCATTTGCTATTAAATTGCCCTGAAGACTTTGTTTAGTTGTTGCTCAAATGGAGATTTCACATGAAATGGTATTTTTGAAGTATTACGTCAATTGATTGTTTTTTGCAAGTTCAGCTCACTTTGCCACTGTCTTTATATTAACAATTTATTTGAAAGCTCTTGGCTAACGAGATTTTTTTTGTTCATCTTGGTCATTTGGGAGCTTATTAGATATTTATTTCAAAATTAACAGGTGTTGAAGTATGAGGAATTTTATTGAGCTTATGTTGAATGCATTACCTTAATGAATTATGTTTTTGTTCTTTTAATTTATGGAAGATTATTGGTTTTATTTTGGGTATCGGCTCATGTCCGAAATAATGCACAGATTGGCACAAGGTGTCTAACACCATAGTAAACTTGTTAAGTCTGTAAATGAACCTTCACAGTGTTCATGTGGCTTAAATCCCAACCAAGTAAAGTATTTAATTTGTATATACCAAATGTACATTTATTTTGTTTCTTATATTTAATTTAATGATTAATTTTTTTTTGTACAGACAAGATCAGATACTTGTAAGGAGATGTTAAACATTTATTCATGCCAGAGACTTTTTTTTTGGTTTATTACTTATTTGCAAGAAGAAAAATGACTTGACAAGTGTGTCAAATTTTGTACAAGGTTGGAGGGTAGGTTGAAGAAGATACGTTAATGTATGATATGTTGAAATAATAGGTGTGATAAAGTACACATGCTGTAAAAGATTGATTGGATTTCTGAGAGATACAGTGGTACAGGAGATGTTATATATAATACATGTAACAGATTACAGCTGTTTGTAGGAACTGTTTGAACACTAGGTACAAAAATGTCTGCTACATGTTATCAATCATATATAGAGCCTAGCCAACCAGCTCATCATGACTGTACTAGGGGCTACTATGGTGATCCTTAGTCTGCTAGGGGCAGCTGATTGTCTACCTATGCAACCAGTGCTTGTTAACCCTTAATCTGCTAGCGACATAACAGTTTCTACTAATGCTACCAGTGTAGACCAACCTCATTTAGCACATCCCCGTTGTCTGGTCATGGCCTCATTGTGCACTATTCAGTACATGTTTTGAAAATTGATAGTTCCTTAAAATATGGATTGGTTTTGTCTAGATTAATTTATAAAAAAGTCCAATTAAGATACTAGTAATAAGCAAGGTAAAGGTTATTTTAAGATTCTTTCTTGTGCATATAACTAGCATATTACCATAACAAATAGACAACTCTAGTGTATTAATACAGTTTTAATATATAATAGAGCACACATTATGTATAATTATCTAGGGTATGTTTTAGATCAAATAATTTAATTTGCATATAATGGGTTGTATTAAAGACATCTATTTCATAAAAAGCCCTTAATTTTGTTTCATTTATATGTAGTTCTTTGAGATATTTTCGTACTCCTGATTTAAAACAACAAAACTGAACATTCAGCAATGTAAATATAAAGGTTTCAAGGTAAAAAAAAATCATACAAATTTGAAATGAGGTCAAATGTATGTGTGTGCATGCTTGTGAAACAATTTGTGGAAAATAATGATGAACAAATGCAATTTGAATCTAGAATTTTTATTTGGTGGTGTGTTGAAAATTTTTAAAGTGAAATGTTCATAAATAAATGTAATATAAATATAGAATAATGATGGTTTATGAACAATTTGGTCTAAATGTTTAATGAATAAATGTGATTTGAATATGAAATTCTGATTGAATCGCTTGTTTGTTAACAATTTATTGCATGTGTTAATAAATGAATGCAGTTTTGACTATTTGAATATAGAAGTTGATAATGTGTTGAAATTTTTAGTCTAAATATTATTAAATGAATGCAATTTTGACTATTAAGGAAATAGATTTTGATAATGTGTTGAAATTTTTAGTCTAAATGTTATTAAGTGAATGCAATTTTGACTATGAAGGAAATTGATTTTGATAATGTGTTGAAATTTTTAGTCTACATGTAAATGTTAATAAATGAATGCAATTTGATTATAGAAATATTTGATATGAACCTTGAACCTTGTTGTTTAGATAGATGGCAGTAAGTTGAACTGTTTTATCTTCATTATTCCATGAATTCTGTGTATAACATTTATAATCATACAAACATTTTGTAAATTAATCACTCATTAAACATTTTTTCTGCAAATAATTGTAGTGTTGTTTTCTTTCTTTTCATCCATTCCATTTATCTGTGGTATTTTTAGCCAGTCTGTTTCGAAGAAAAAGCAGAGCTTTTATGATTGTCACGCTGTCGTTGTTGTTGTGCAAAAACTTTAATGTAGCCCATTATTCAAACATTTTGAAAGATATCAACATGACACTTGGAAGAGACTTAATACGTTGTTAGACAAATGGCATAATTCTGAAAGTAATATATGTTGGAGTTATGCCCCCTTTAAACTTAAAATTTTAAACGGACTAGCGTTAACATCTCGTTGGCGCTCTTGTTTTTTTTTTAAAATACTTGAGGAGTTCTGCAGATTCTGATATTCAAGATGTACAATGAATGCAGGGAGTCATTGTTAAGTGATTTATTTATTTCAAGGAGTGGAGAAGACTTCTGCTTAATATTAAATTTTGGTGTCAGTAATAAATTATATCAGTGAGCTTGAAACAGAAAAAACCTATAAATGACTTCTTTCAAACCCATGGCTTGATCGCTTTACTTAAGTTTGTAGCATCCTTAAATACTCGTCTATCAACTTCAGGCTGTAACTTGAGTTTGTTTACAGCTGAACATACAATTATGCCTTTCAAGACTTTCTAATGAACAAATGTTTTATGACCATTACCAGACTTGATCTGTAATATTGTCTTTAGATTGTTATGCCCCCACAAAGCGTTGCACTTGTCCGTCCGTACGTCCCGAAATCTTGTGAACACAACTCGTCTTAAACCGGATGGCAGATTTTGCTTAAACTTCCAGGGATGAACAACCCTAATGTGTAGATGGTTGTAAAGGAAGGAATTTTTGCTGCGACCAAATTTAACAGAATTATGGCCCTTTGTTGATTTTTTCACTATATACCATATAGAAATTTTCTGAACGCAACTCCTCTTAAACCGGATGGCAGATTTTGCTTAAACTTCCAGGGATGAACAACCTTAATGTGTAGATGGAAGTAAAGGAAGGAATTTTTGCTGCGACCAAATTTAACAGAATTATGGCCCTTTGTTGATTTTTTCACTATATACTATGTAGAAATTTTGTGAACGCAACTCCTCTTAAACCGGATGGCAGATTTTGCTTAAACTTCCAGGAATGAACAACCCTAATGTGTAGATGGTTGTAAAGGAAGGAATTTTGCTGCTACCAAATTTAACAGAATTATGGCCCTTTGTTGATTTTTTCACTATATACCATATAGAAATTTTCTGAACGCAACTCCTCTTAAACCGGATGGCAGATTTTGCTTAAACTTCCAGGGATGAACAACCTTAATGTGTAGATGGAAGTAAAGGAAGGAATTTTTGCTGCGACCAAATTTAACAGAATTATGGCCCTTTGTTGATTTTTTCACTATATACAATATAGAAATTATGTGAACGCAACTCCTCTTAAACCGGTGCACATCTGCACAGTGGGGGCATCCGTGTCCTTTGGACACAGTTCTAGTTTTCTATTAAGTTGGTCTGCCTCATTCTTTACGTTTAAAGCTAAAAAAATTCAAGCACCCATCTCCTAAACTTATGTACATTTTTGTATGGATCATCACCAAAATTTAAAGCTGCCTGCCTCCAGATCAGCCCAACTAGAAGAAAAACTCAAACTTGAATCAAACATGAAATATAATCATGACTCCAATTACCCTGTTTTATTTTAAGGGCACAGAGAGCATTAAATTAAAGAAGCGAGTTTACGTTTCGTTTTATTATCACCAATCCTTTTTTGTTTAAATTTGGTTATACGTATTAAAGGAACGTTTGCAATTCCCACTAAAAAGTCCGAGTTGCATAATCTAATCAGTCAGTCAAGCTCATCCGATTTATTTTTCTCCATGATCTCATTGGCCTCCCATGCATCAAAATAGTATCACCACAAAAATCGACTTGCATACATATTTAGTATCATTCAGTAAAATACTGAATTCAAAATTTATAGATCACCTTTTGGTTGATAATAACATTTAAAGACATGAATGGTGACATATCCCGGGTCCGTTCTCTCAGTTCCTGAAAGATGGACCCTCATTGAGCCTAGAATACGTACATACATACATACATACCCTTAAAAATATGATTTGTCATGAGAAACATCCATCGCAACATCTAATGTGATGTGTATTATTTTAGGAACAAGGGAGAGCACCGTGGTTTAACCAACATCATTCTTAAAGGCACATTATACCTCAGAAATCCATGTTTTTTCAATTCTTTAGAAATAATAATAATGGATTTAGTGCATGTTAGACTTTTAACAAGAGAAGAAAGTAGCATTGAATATGCACTTATAATGCTGTAGTAGCACAATGTATACAAATTAGTATTTTGTCTTCCATACGAATACTAATCCACTATATATAATAACACCAATTGCCAACATAACAAAATCAGCTAAAGATAGTTTTTGTATATATGGCAAATGATGAGTATTTCTTTGGAAACAGTTATCAAGATATCTAAAAAAGTTTTTGATAAATAAAAATGATAGCATTTCTTAGGTCTCTAAAACAATTGTTATCCATCATGAGATTCGAACTTAAAGTTGTAGTGATCAAATTTTTGAATCTGTCCCGAGTATTGAATCTTTTCTTGTACTTACTATTTAATAATTTTACAGATGTATGTTTTAAGAGTCAGCTAAAACGCAATATTTCAAAGGGCGTGGTGTTTCCATGTTTTCTACTAAGAGAGCAGAACGAGTGGCATATATCTGTATTACGTATCTAGAATACAACAATGCTGTGCATTGGTATGCGATGGCAGAATATCATTCTATACTTCTTTTTTTCATATTAAATGGATATAACATTACAATTTGCCACTTTCTTAATTTTAGATATTTTGTTTTCTTACAAAAATTGAGACATTTAAACAAAGCGTATTTTGTGGACTTTTTATGTTGTGCTGTGTATGAGTTAGGGTGATATGAAGATAGCGAGAATATTCCGGGCGAGCTGTACATCAGCCGCAGACAGGGAGAGTATTAATATTTTATCCGACAATCCAGCAAACCAAAGGGGATATGTTAATGCCACTCTGACAAGATACACTGATAATGATAATTTACGTGGCTTTTACATGCAATACTAACTGACACCGTGTAAAAGTGCGCGGAATCCATGAGATCTTTCTTGGTAATGAACTTAATGGCAATTAGCTTTTATTTGGTTTATATACCACGGCCAATTATCTGAATTTTCCATCAACAAATGGCGTAATTGAAGCACACTTAACGTGGTATACGGGCTTTTCATTACTCAGCAGTATTTTATGTTTGGACCATTCGTTATGGATTATTAAGGCCTGAATGTATACCCATTGTTCCGATTTCAAACAAGTGATTACTCAGGAAATGAATAAGATTAAAGAAGTATATACAATTCTTAATGGCCCTATCAGAGAAAATTTCTTTCAAGTGTTTTCTTGAAAGGAAAAAAGTATGGTAACCATACCATATATTAAGATATGATTATTAGTCTATAGTGATTATCAGGTGATAATACATTGTTGAATACAATACTGAATTCTACTGGACTGGTACACAGCTGTTCAAACTATATTGGACGAGGCGCTAGACGAGTCTGATATAGGTTACGAGTCCAATAGAATCAGTTTTGTTCTCAACCATGTTTAATGACCTCTTTTTTCACACCAACATTTTCTTGACATTTTGACAAAACTTTGTTTCTTCAAATTACAATTTTAAGGATTCAATATGGTTTTGGACAATCAAAAATGAAAAAGAGACCAGATTTGGTGTATTACGGATTTGATATGGACGTTTTGGACTCTGAAAATGAAAACGAGGCTAAATTGATAAGATTGGATCCAATAATGATTTCTATTGGAACACCATGTGATGTTAATGCTGAAAGTGCATTTGTTATATTTATAAGGTATGAAATAAAACGCACCACGTTCCCGAGTTTATGCCCCATGTCATAATGGAAATCATATAGCAAGACACACAAAGTGGTTGTTATTTATATTTACAAAAAATAAAGTAAAGCCTGAAATTTGAAGTCTTTTGAAAAGTTGTGCCTTAAATATAACACATTATATCTACTAGTCACAGACTTTCATATTTCATGCATTTGTAGAACAAACTAGATCTATAACTGACGCAATAAGCTATTTTCACATGTGTTTCTTCTCACAAGCACCGTGTATGTGATGATAACCCGTCCGTGATTAACGAGCAGACATCACATGGAAGTCAGAAACCACTCATAGAAAAATATGACCTTGAATATGTTGATTTTACCTGTCACCTTTACCGTTCTCTTACAATTACCACGGCAGATAAAAAGTATATGTAAGGATTCCTTGCAACAAAAATATATTTATGAGCATACAAAACTGTTTATTTTTTAAAAATTTGTTTATGCTTGGGTTTCTCTTCCCCACTGGAAAGATTTATATATGAGCGAGCAAAATGTTTAATGTAACGCAATTTTGATTCTAGATTTAAAAAATATATATATTTTTTTGCAAAACAGGCAAAAACATTTATCTATATAACATATTTCTAGTGATATTTTATTCAAAAAATGGTTATATGTGACTGCATGGTTTCTGCAACATTTAATTTTAATAATACTTCATTTGAGCAACAGGTTTATTATAATTATAAGGGCATGGCATTTTCGAGGTACTGTTACTTTAGTCTTTCTCAAGATACTTAGTTTGAAACCCGTTGACTAATGGAATAATTCATATTTGCACTAAAACTAGGAGAACATTCTGTGTAAATTGTGCAAATGAAATTAAAATTTCTCAAAAAATGCGGTTAAAGGAGTTTTTTAAAGAAATAACGCCATTTTGGTATAATTCAAACCCGATTATTGATGTAACGGAAATATCCCATGTTTAACGATATGGCCACTGTTTGTTTGCTCAGAGTTTGCAGGTTCGATTCTCTCTACTTTTTTTCTGAAATTGCTTACGTCTGTAAGGTACTACTCCCTTGCTGATGGTGTACGATAT